TTGTCGTTATTCTGCCACTGAAGTTCCTCACGAAGAACAAACTGGTTCAAATAATTTTCTCTATAAGCTCTATTTGTTGATTTTTTTATTCTTTGTTGTTGGTTAAGTGGAATATTGCTTCCAAATAGGATTGTGCAGTTACGGCGGCGAAGCTCTCGATAAAACAATAATGGAAAAAGGTTCTGTGCAAGGTAACTTCGTTTGCAGCCTTTTTACTCTCTTTTTAGTAGATACTTAACTAAATTAGTACATGGTACCTAATATTTTAATGTTAAGAATTATTAAGGTATAAATATAACCATACTATAAATAATATATTATAATAAAGTTGTTATGATTATTACAAAATTTGAATTTATTTGATTTTATTTTATTATTTTTTTATTTTAATTTAATTTAAGAAAAAAAAATACTCAGCTTAAAAAATCAGGGGTCAGTTCTGTTGAAATGTGGTATATAATATATCTACAGTAGGTGTCAATAGTCTGATTTCTATATTCGAAAATTTTAATTTGAAACAAATAATTGATAAACCAACTAGAAAATTGTCATTGCTTGATCTTATCATTGTCTCTAAAGAAATTAATGTAGTAGATGCTGATGTAATTGAAACAAATACATCTGATCATTCCCTAACATATTGCATCATAGATATGATTGTGGTAAAAAATGTACCAATCTTCCGTACATACAGAAACCTAAAAAATGTTAAGTATGATATGCTTATTGCAGATTTTTATAATATTCCGTGGTATAATATATTTGATATGGGAAATGTTGATGACAAAGTTACTTTTTTAGTACAGAATCTTACTCATTTGCTTGATATTCATGCGCCTATTATCACAAAGAGGTTCACAAAATCTCCTGCACCGTGGATAACGGACAATATTAAATTAATGATATCACTTAAGAAAAAGGCCTTTAATAGATTTAAACAAACTAAAAGTGAAGCACATTGGCAATACTACAAGGATTTACGTAATTACACAACTCAAGCTATTAAGCAAGAAAAAAAGGCATATGTTAATTATAAAATAAAGCATTCTAGTACAAAAGAAAGATGGAGATTTCTTAAACAAAATAATTTTATACCAAATAAATCTTCTAACATTCCTGGTCATCTAAGCGATATAAATAAAATAAACGATTTTTTTGTTAATTCTATTCCTTCTGTGGAGACCCCAGAACGAGTACTAAATTTATATAACAATAGCCGTTTAAATAATTCGAACTTTACATTTCATCCAGTCACAGAATGTGATGTAAGTAAAATATTACATAAAATTACCACAAATGCAACAGGGTGCGATGGTTTAAATTTAACCTTTTTAAAATTATTTATTCCTGAAGTAATTCCATACATAACACATATTGTTAATTATTGTCTTACTGAATCTGTCTTCCCAGCTCTGTGGAGGAGTGCTGTGATAACTGTGCTACCAAAAAAAAGTAATCCTGAGGAATTTAAGGACCTTCGTGCCATAAGTATTTTGCCAACCATATCAAAAGTTATCGAAAGGGTAATGGATATACAGTTACGGATACATTTGCAAGCAAATAAACNTATTATTATTATTATTATTATTATTATTATTATTATTATTACCAAAGTCTTTACTTCATATCTTCCCTATCTGTAATGTTTATGTTATTTTATTTCTAATGTGCAGAAAACTGTCAATTCTATCCTTGAATTCTATATTGAATTATAATGAATGAGGTACTTTTCTTTATAACCCTTGGTTTAATTCTTTAAAATTCAGGAATACATTATTACAACCAAATTGTAGAAATTTCCTTTAACGTTTCCTTCAAACAACAACCTGCAGACAATTTTCTCAACTTCTTTCAATCCTGCTAACTTCCTTTTATTTACTCTGATTCTAAATTCCTGAATTTTTTTGACTTTTCTTCCACCTTCCTTTTTTAATGTAACTAATTTCTAATTCCTCTCCTCTTTTGTATTTCTCCTAATCCTAGTTATTCTTTAAGGTTCCTACACACACTTTTACATTTTTAAAACGTTCTATTGATTTCTTTTATTTCACTTATCTTATTTTTTATCTACTATGTACAAATTACATAAATTTTTATTAATGTTTTTCAGAATTATTGTTTATTTTTTTTCATATTTACATTATCTTTCTATCTTAATTTCAAACCTGTGTATCAACTTTTATGTTGTCATCCTTTGACATTAATCAATTTTGAATCCTAATATTGAAACTTCAAATTTTGATTTATCTCAATATATTACAAAAATGAGTTGTATAATATATGAGCATATTTTTAACAGAAAATCAAGTGAAAACAATGTTTGAGGTCATATTTTATTTGAGAAATGCTATTTCCTGGCTCATAATGCTTTAATAACAGTAACAACTATAAAGGTAAAAAGTACGAACTTCATCCTTCTAAATATTTTGAATAATATTAGGAACTGAGGGAACTATTTTTTACATCATACTATTTAAAATGGTAAACAAAAGACATTGACAACTATGAACTGCAGATATCATCTTACATCCGTATATTAAATTTTGTCTCTGTACTTAATATTTTTTGATCTTTAAATCAGTTTATCCAAGTATGTATTCAAATATAAGGTTATAACTTTCGCAACTACACTTTTATATGAAACTTGAGGTTTATTGCTGTAAGATTTTTCGTTTTAAGCGTACTCTAAGGCATCTATTCCAGGTAATATACTTGTGTTAGATATATTACCTTTATAAGGTTTTATTCTGTTAGCTATAGCATAGCTTCCTTTATTACATTTATGTTCATGAAAGGAAGTTGACCTCAAGATATTACACCGACAATCCGCTGTTAGGTGGAATATTGAGGAGCATGTTTATCTTGAAACATGTTCTAGTATAAATCTGTAGTTTACACAAACAATTTTGCAAATATTAATATTTTAACGACGACGAGAACATAGCCTCCAAAATTTAAATACATATTCGGTGAAAACAAAACAGGTTAAAACTTCAATAGCAAATGTCAACAAGAACAATTTTTTCTTACTTTGAACTATATACAGACATTTTTTTATGCCTCAAGTATTCCCGACTTTCGATAACACATCTTGAATCACATCTAATATAGTCTAGAATGTTTTAGAGATAAAAATAGAAGCGTTTCATAGTCTGGTGAATTAACAAATAACCAAGAACCCAATTAATAAATTAACAAGGAATGTAAGCTTCGGTAGCATTGCTCTCTTCTTAGAATTCCATATTATCTGCAATGTTTTATTAAAAGCACAAGTATCAGAATGTGGGTAACAACATTCCTTCACATCGAAACGATTTCCAAGCTAATAGAATCCCTACCTGATCTTATTTAATCTCAATTATTTCAAAATGCTACCGATGTCACTATGAAGCAGTTGAAGTGGTTCTGGAACAATTTTTTTTAAATAAAACGGTAGGTTTATTGAAAACTTCGCTTAATAATATAATACAATGGCGTTTTTAAATTAGAAAACTATTTATTTGTTAGAAATGATGAAGCAAATCGAGGAGTTGAAAATGTTAAAGACTGAATCTATTGATTTTATTGAATCAATATAAAAATCGGAAGCAAGAAATTTTGCTTCTTGGAGTGATCAACAGACCAACTTGTTAATTTAATGACGGTTATTGATGACAGAAAGTTTCCTGCCTAATTAGGAATATGTTATTTTTGTAGGTGACTTTAATGTCGATTTTTTAACTGAGAACAAACAAATAAAAGCGAGGGACCTTAGAAATATGATTACTTCAACAATAAGATCTCACATATTTTGAAATATTTGAATATTAACAGTAAGAGTAATATGAATATGTTAATTTTGGTAATGCTGATGAGTTTAACTGCATTAAAGTGAAATTTTTGGGTGAAAACGCCCAAATGGGTCAAAACTGTTTCATTCCTAAATTTTGTTCAAATATATCATTTTCGTAGTATTTTGAGGCGCTGGCATGATGCCATTAGTAAAATTTACCCATGATATGATATTTCTCAGCAATCCACTATTTGGGTGAAAATATATAATTTTCGTAATATTTTTCACCCAAATATGGATTTTCTGAGAAATGTCAAGGCGATGAATACATTTTGACATTGTGTTCAGCGCCTCAAAATATTATGAAAATGATTTAGGCAAAATTTACAAATTTACAGACTTACAAAATTTAGGGAAAAATTCAGTTGTGACCCATATTTAGGTGTTTTCGTTCAAAAATTTCACTTTTCTTCGAAATTCATCTGCAAGTCATGAATTTTGACTACAACATTGTGTTCAGCATATCGAATTCCTTCGGAAATGATATGTGGGCCTCTTGGGTTTGGACTTTTTTTTTGTGTGCTTGTGTTATTGAACTTTCAGATTTTCTCAATAAATAAACACATTAGTATGCAAAAATTTTTAATTATAATTTTAAATGGAATGGAAAAATATATAAAGTCGTACCGTGATGTTCGTCACGTCCTCGATGTGGAAAACGACTTGGCACATCTTTTATGTTGTCGCAGCATTTTGTCTACATTCAGAGTTTATCAATAGCGTATCTATGAATTCGTGATTACTGCAATTATGGATTATTGCAATAAAACGATAATCAATAATAACAACTTCTGATTACTATAATTTTAAACATATTTGGAACAACTAGCAGTAGATGTTCTTTGTAAACAAAAAACACTGAACACGGCATTTAGCTTATTAATATTCTGTGGTATCAGGTAATAAAAGAGCGATCAATGCGAGCTGCTTTTGCTTCAGATGTTGGACTAAATAGTAGCAGGCGGTAATTAGCGATTATTTTTGAAATTTCTAATGTACTTTTACTAAAGTAAACTTATAGCGATGGTCTTCTTTTATCACTACTATTTACAGAGAAAAAAAAATATTCAAGTTCATAAACACCTTGTATTAAGCAATCTTTTTCAACCAAATTAAACTAAATCTAATAAGGATAAGCAGTTAAACATAGAAAATGATAATGACTTACCCAAGGGTTAGCGATTAGATGGCATTCAAAATAAACGTCAGCACCTTCTTTGATGTCATTAGCATCCAGGCCATGTCCTAGGGTTAAAGTGACCTTTGGAGGATACAGCACTTTGAGCATCCAAGTGCGTTGTTGTTCGCTAAAAATAAATGGGTCCGATTAACTAAACGTGTAAACTAGCGAAAATTGGTAGTGACAAAATATCAAATTATTATTAAGTATGTTATAGGAATTTCTTTTTGTTAATTTCCTATGTAGAATTCAGCATTAATGTAAGGTCAAGTAATTTAGTTACATTGTGTATAAAAGGCATTAGTAATGTTGTGTACATTCGAATTAAGACATTTTTGAAAGGTATTTTAAAAATACCTGTTCTGTATCTAATATATAATATTTCTTATTGGTTTTTCTTACAACAACAAAATGTATTAAAAAAATGTGGCTTATTAATATATTATAAATAAAATAATTTCAGTGAACTTTGTACTTCATTTTTCCAATATAAAAATTTGAAATGCCTCTAGGCCTCTAGTTTTCGCTATTGAAATTGTAATATACTGCTGGAAACAAAAAACATGAGTATAAATATTATTTGAAAATTAATAGCTTCGGAAAAACAATACGGTTTGTTATACATAAACAATGCCAGGATTATAAATTGTATGTATACGGAATAAGTTGAATGAGCAGTAAACAACAGAGTTCATTTCATGACATATTGCACGGCTCTATTTATTATAACCATTTGCAGGGTGGAATATTATTACTGAACCTAGCATAAATCTATAATTGGTATCACATTTCATATAAATGTAGTTACGTGAATAAGAACCGGGGATATTTTCGAGTTTCATGAAGCATATATTATAAAATATTTTAACGAGAGCAGTAGTTGCCAACTGGCAAAGTCTACAGGATGCAGTCACAAACAAAAAAAAACATTTATCGCCAGGTGGAACTGCAGCAGAAATACGCAATAAGTTTAGGAAGAGCTATCTTCCAACACATGACATTTTTTTATTTAATACTACGTGAGTATAAATCAAAATTGTATGGTTAACCATTGGAAAGTTCATACGTCACATCCATTTTTTGCCTGTCTGGACAGAGCTCGATCAGTACAATTTATCTGCAAACATGGAGCGGTTACAGCAAAGAACACTCTACGGAATGACAGAATGTTTGCGGCAGTAATGTTACATTAATAGATTATTGTCCCTATCTCCGTAACATCCACTCGTATTATTGTTACAAACATTTTGTCTTTCTAATTCGAGGTATTGTATCGAAATGGAAGTTGCTACAACAGTCTCTACATAGTGATGATGAATGATGATTTTAATTTTTGTCGTTTCCCTTCTAGGGGTCGAGAGCAATGATGTATTTTTTACATTTCTCTGTTGAAGTCTGCTTTTCAGTTGCCATTTTCCAAGCATATTTTTTATTATTTTCTTGTAATATTGTATTTCTTTTTGTTGAGTTCTTTATTGTGACTCCCTCATGTTTGCAATCAAACTGTACTGATTATGTGACTAATGAGTTCAGGCAGACACATGATATCCGTGACTTAGGAGCTCAACATTTCTTTGATGCGCACACAAAACCTATTGAACGGGTGATGTCGTAATGATATGTTGTTGGAGTGTGCCATCCACATCGATGCGATCGTGTTACGCGACGAAGTTGCGTTACGATGTTCTGTTGCATCCTCAGACGCACTTTAAAATGCCGAATGTTAATATAAGATGTAACAGCGTCATTATGACAAACTTTCAGAGCTCTGGTCAAAACAGAGAAGTGAAAGAGTGATAACATAATTTCTTAAAATGATTCCTAACGACTCTATGACTTTTCAAAGATTGAAAGTGGGCACGGTTTTTGATTAATTAAGAATCAATGAATGTATATTTCGAAGTTCAGTTTCTTCATAGTAACTGTTTTTATATCAAATTTGAATAAAGTAAGATGTTTTAATTGTCAAACATAATTATTTGGCACTATAGAGATTTTCTCCTCTTATTTTATAGATTTTGATAGACTATTACCAGTTACCTATAACTTTCGTGACTTTTGAGCTTTTTTGTATGATAATGGTTTACGAGTCCAAAAATTATGATAATGTTAGGCATTCGTCAGCAGCTGAACACGAATCATTACTTTGTTCTAATTTCTCAACAATAAATGTAATTAACGCAATAATGGAAAATATAAAGTTATTTTTATTTTCACCCAGACTTCGCTGTTAAAAATGTTTATGGTTTTATTATGTTTTCTGTTTTTTTTAACTGTGAACATACTAAAAAAAAACTCAAAAGGCATACACATTTCAACTGGAAATAGTCCATTCAAATCTGTCAAAGAACTTTTTTAACGTCAAATACCACAGATTTCTGTTAACTCGGGTAATTTTTTAAAATTTTGTATCAATGTATCTTCAATGGTTCTTGAGTAACTGATCAGAAACTGTTTCGTTTCTAATATTTAAATGATCATAGAGCATTTAAGAATATTTCAATACAATATACAGCAGGGCCTCGATGATCCGAACACCGAAAATTTATACCCTGTTCGGATTCACGAAGCGTTCGGATTATAGTATGTAGACATTTTGAAACGGAATTTTCGAAATAAAACAAAAATATTTTACATTATAATGTATTTATTTAAGTATGTACGTTAGATGTATGTTAGATAAAATGCTATTAATCACACTTTTTTAAAGATTGACGAGTAGTATTTAGCGACATAGAAAATGCTTTATCCCTTAATTTACGTAACAGCATTTTTTCCGGAATAGAAATGTCGACTTCATCTGCCTATTCCAAACAAAAAACGCACTGCGTGGCACTGGCGAGACAGAAACTGTGAGAAACGGTGGTTGCGCAGGGGTAAGGGGGGTCGTTCGGATTATAGAGGCGTTCGGACTAGCTGGGGTACGGATTATCAAGGCCCTGCTGTAGTTCTGTTGTTCTTTTTATTTGTTTGCTGGACATTTGTTTCAACATCGCTGTTAGACGTATTTTTCCATACTAAAGTTGGGAAAGAAAAATTAAAAAAAAAGATTTAATAAATAACACAGCGGCAAAAGAAAGAGTGAAGGGATATATTTAGATATTTTCAATTTTTTTTAACCATAAGTTTTTTTAAGCAACTCTAGTATATGTATTATGAACACTTAATAACTACTTATAAGACATGTGACCAGAATTGCACTTCTGTTGCTCCTCCTAACACCGCCTGTGGGAAGGATAATATGAACTAGCTGACCACAACCGGACCCTGATCCTTTGGTACATTAGTGGTTTCCAGATGTATTGCCCAACGCAAACCATTTTACATACTAATAATTTACCAAATTAATATCACCACTTTTTTAAAAATGTAATTTTTTTTGAAAAAGACAAGTGAGCAGAAGAAAAACTGGACTAATAAAGCCAAGATTTCAATTGCTTTGTTTAGATTAATTATTATAGTGTCCTTAATATGGTATTTATGGTATATACTTTTGGTACACTAGAGATACGGGGTGATTTACTAGAAATGTTCAATTGTACGAATAGAAATGGAATAACGGTTGTTTGAGATACAAGTATAAAAAGTAATTCTGTACTGCACGAATAATTGCGCTAAAAGCATGAGCGCCCAAGTGTTTAAGTTAATTTCTTACAAGAAACGGTACTCTGTAGGAAACCGTATGAAGAAGTCAAAAGTGTTAACCAAAGATAAAATTCACAAATTTGTAGAAAATATGCTACTTTTATGTCACCAGCAATATATCATCGATTGTTTATTAGCCACTGTAATGGAAAGTGTTGTTCTCAGCCGATAAGAATTAACAACTAACAAATACCAAGTGAAATTGCTGGATATCTGCCAGGGCGGAGGAATATACGGTTTATAATTTGGTAATCTGTAATCATGCTAGGAGATGTTTTAATGATGAAGATACATACTGGCAGGAAGTTATCGACTGTGGCAGAATTTTACGTAGAAGAATTACTTCAAATGTGTAGAAAAGAAAACCAAAATGTATCTGTATTTATTGCAAATTTTATTAATTGCAATGCAGATGGTTAAATGTGAATAATGAAGAAAATAATGATGTTTTTATTGATAGATCTTCTGACTATTATTGTGCAATAATGTCTTTAAATAGAGAGGCTCCTTTAAGTCAATATTTTACTCTGAAAATTAAGTAAAACTAAATGTTTGTGGCATTGTCTTCTTCACTACCAAATGGTTTCCGTTTTCTTCATAGAAAGAAGTCCTTGGTATGAGGTCAAGCATTTTCGGAGATTAAAAAGTTACATCACCTTTACTGGGGCGTATCTGAGACCGTTGACATCCAAAATGATATGAACTTCCTAGCTGAAGTATAAGTCTTTTTTTTTGGGTACTTAGCAAGATATTTTCTTCTATTAGTTGTAGAAATTATTACTCAATTGCAGCATATTGTCAGTGGACATTTTCCTCGGTTTGGTAGACGTCTACAGGGAAGGTCGCGTTATTACTTTCGTACATATGTACTTATATTTTCCTGTACAGAAGTAAAAGTTGCTATTGTTATATCACAATATATCTAACACATTGTTACCTTCTGTCGGAGTTGTTGAATTCAACTAACTACAAAACAAAGTGTCGAATGGAACTTCACAGACCTAACATTGGAAATTATAATAATATAGTACAATGAATGAACTTAAGTTGTCTTGAAACTTTACAGGTCTAACCTACCTTTAAAATGTCATTGGATTCTAATAAATCACGATTTTGCTATATATTAGACCTTATTTTCATTCTTGATAGTTTCTGTGAGAAAACTTTCTATGGATCTCGATATTTTATATAGACAAATATACAATAATAGGTATAGCTGTGGAAAAGTTTCCTATCTAAACTTTGTCCGTAATTGTATCAAAAGAAAAACAAACTTTAAGTTTCATCACTTGTAGTGCAATATACCATACCGTATCAGTGTAGCTACTTAACGATGTCCAATAAAGTGAAGTTCATGTTAATGAATATTGAAATACAGAAGTAATTAAACGGTCTCAAAGGATATGGACTCAAAGAAATGGAGAGAGAATTCATGGAATCTCTATCAAACATTGTGGTTCTCAATATTCTACGGTTATTGTTTCTGGTCTGTTTATTTACTACAATTAAAGATAAGTTTAAATGAATTCCAGACAGAAAAGTTGCAGCAACTCAGCTGGAGTTGTGTTTGTGGCAATTTCAATGGGGGATTTACGAAGGCGAATTCGAATATAAACGATAATGATATTTACAGTAGAAAAATAAATATATGGAACATAGTTATATTACTTTTCTTAGTAGTTCTCTGAAACAAAATACGGGGTGTCCGGAAAGATCATGTCAAAAATGAAGGGGTATACAGGGGAGGTCAAAATAGTTGTAGTTTTTCATAAACAATTTTTTCATAACGGGCTTCGTTGTGGCCTTCAAAGAAAGAAGTTTGAAAAACAAATTCCAATTATAACCTCTAAATCGTTACCATGACAACGATGAAATTTGGGCAATTAAAGTAACTCATGGTAATGTTCATTTCGAAGTTTAAACTGATGTGCAAAATGCCTGGATTATACAGGAGCAGACGAAATTATCCATTTAAATTTATACATCTTTGACAGCGTTGCCAATTTGGCATTTTTCCTTCTTAGTTCGATTCCTCTCTCACTTTGCTAAAAAAAGGTATACCGTATATCAGTCGATATCTTGTATCGTTTTTGAGAACATGGAATTTTATTAACAACATACATTTATTGTATCAAAATTGTGATTTTTGCAAAAATCTTGGTTTCTATAGAATTAAAAGAAAAACTAGAACTATTAAGTAAGATGTTCAATACGTGCACCTTGAACCTCAATGCATTTTCTGAAATTACTCAAACACCTCTGCTGTATTCGAAATAACATGTGCATGGTGATCATTTCTAATGATATCGGCGTATGTAATTATGTGATTTAATAATTTTTCGCTAATATTTATATTTTGATAAACAAGACTTTCAAGATGGCCCCAAAGAAAAAAATCGAGAGGATTAAGATCGGGAGACCGAAGCGGCCACGGAAAAAGGACTATCTCGACCGATCCATCGATCGGGAAATGTGGTATTTAAATAATCCCCTACTGACCTGCTAAAATGAGGTGGTGCACCATCGGGCATAAGCCACATGTTATTTCAAATATTTAAAGGGACGTCTTCCAATAACGGGCTATAGTGTTCTTGAAGTACTAAATGTAGGTATTTATCCCCCATTTAAAGTGTCATCAATGATCCCACTAAGTAGTTTTTAATTATTTCTATCCATACATTAATGAGAAATTTGTTTTAATGATTTATCTGAATAATAGTATATAGGGAAACCGCGTATCACTAAATATCTCCAATTTAAAAAGTTCGGTTATTTTTTAAACAGACCTCGTATAAAAGAAGTTTGGATAATCATAAAGGCTAAAACTACACGTTTCAAAATTATTTTTGTAATTACTTTCGTAAAATAAAATACTTCTTAATAAGATTGTCATAAATCATTCCGCAAGTATCCCCGAATTAGTGTTTATGGCATAAGTTAAATAATGTAAAGCAAACAAAAGAATGAAGATTGATGTCATTATAATAAATTAAACATGTCCTGGGAATGAGAAATAGAGAGATAAGTGAAAAGATTATGTGAAAAAAAGAAAACTGTAGGTATTAATATTTGTAGGTGCAGCTTGTCTTCCCCTACGGTTTTATTTTCCATCATAACTGAATTTAGTACATTCCATAAATAAGATTTTACTGAACGAATAGTAGACAAAAATGAATTAAAAGGTGAATAATACATCAGGAAGAAGCAGTTTATCACAGAAATGTATATCAACGTTTCCGCTTTTCTATTTTCAAGTGGCAGCACACAAGATTAAATAACCATGAGGCAAAGAATACCAGATATATTTTACGTACTTTGTACTTTAGGTTGCATGTAATTAATTATTTGGTATAATGGATGGTATATAGTGATGAAACCTTAATCTTAATCGTTTTAAGGAAAATCTCTAATATTTCAACTCTTCAAAGCTTGTGTTTTCTGTTCCTATTACGCCATGCGTATAGTTTTTGTGGGAGTTTCTTCAAAAAGCTGTTTTTTAACTCTCCCTCTTTCTCCTATAATCCGAGATATTGTTACAAACGTGTATTTAGTGGTATATCCAAGAAACCGCAATTTTACAAGCATATAATTTGGACTGACGAGTCAACATTTACCAGAGATGGCATATTTAATTGTCATAATGACCATACGTGGGCACCTGTGAGTCCTCATGCTGTCAGGCCCTCCAATAATCAATACAGATTCAAAGTTAACGTATGGATGGGTATAATTGGAAATTACGTCCCATTATACTAGAAAATACATTAAATGCAGAGGCATTTCTTGATCTTCTTCAGAATGAACTGCATAATATATTAGAAGAGGTTCCTTTAAATTTTCGGATTAATTCCTGGCTTCAAATGGATGGTTGCCCTGCATATAACAGCAGGGAGATTCGGGCATAGATAGGACGCTTTGGTACAGTTAGGTGGCCTCCTCGAAGTCCTGATCTAACTCCATTAGACTTCTTTTGATGGGGTAGATTAAAATCTTTGGTATATGAAGTACCAATTGAAACTCGAGTACAGCTCCAACAAAGGATTTTTGTTTGTTGGGAGCTACTTCGACAGCAAAATGGAGAAGTGCGTCGCACAGTTGTTTCCGTGCGGAGAAGGTGCGTTTTATGTATCCGTCAATGAGGGAGGTTACATCGAAAATTATTAAGTCATTGTAAATACATATGTTATAAATAATTTTTTCAACGATTTTATTACTTTAATTTAAAAATCAGCCTTAAAATGAAACTAAAGTACTATAAAGCTTGTATATTTTCGATTTTTACGGTTTTATTACCTTTGCCCTTGATATTGTTGCCAAAATAACAGCAAACTCAAAAGTTGATATATCGTTGAAAAGCTTACTAAATACAGCAGTTTTTGTTGAAGAAAAAACACGTCCTCATTAACAAATTTTTGGGTTACCACCAATAAGAAGATACCACTAATTTGCTCATTTCACAATTATTACATTTAACTTTTTACAGCACCTGGTATAAATACTCATATATGCTCGTCTTGTTGTAAATTTAACGCTCTTTCCGATGGTATGTCTAAATTTGATGTGGCTGTAAGAATAACAGATATTTTTGTTTTTATGAAAAAAGGCACAACATTTTTTGAAATAAAAAAATGTTAAAAGAGCAACTATCAACTTTCCAAAAAATCTTATAATACTTTTTTGTTGAAAATTACTTGTATAATAACCCCCTGAAGTTTGGGCATCAGCATCCGTTACACCCTGTATACTATTTAAGTATTTTTATTTTAATCCATTAAATTGAATTTAAAGGAAACATTTAATTTCTTTTTTATATACTTATTCCCGAGTTTTATAATAGATATTTCACAAAATAGTTCATTGTGATATTTTGAGAGAATTTCAATGATTTAATTAAGTTTCTCAGGTATTCGACATTCCTCCACTTTCTCCTAACAGCGTCTCCAATTCGGGACAACGGATACTTCGTAAAAAACTCGGCCTTCCCTTAATCATGACACGCAGATTCCTACAAGTACATGCCGGCCTAAACTTCTAATAAAACTTTCGAACTCACCTAAAAGGGATCCGTTGATTGGATGCTTTGCAAGTCAAGATGAGCCCATGGTCTGCGGCTGTGGGCGTAAAGGACAATGTGCTCGTGGTGGTGTTACCATCTGCGCTCACTGTAACTATTCCGCCCTCCAAGGACACCCCGTCCTGAAACAAAGGATGAACACGGGGCTTACTTCATATTCCGCTGACGCCGAATAACCATCAACAAACAATGGGAGTACAAAGGAATTCGTTTTAACTAGGGGCTCTGCCAAATGAAACGCTTTCATTTTGGTCTGACGATTTGCGTCTTGTTGCTTACAATAAGTTGGTCCATAACCTGTCGGAGGAAATGGAAATTTGGTCTAATACCTTTGTAATAGTTTACATACAAGGGGATCTAGAAATGAGTCTAAACAAATCAAAGACAAAAATAGTATAACGCAATAATACAATAATATAATATTTTGCTGAGTTATAGGACTCTAGTCTTTTGTTATTTGAGGGGGTTAAAATCATTTTTTAATAAACCTTTGTTATTTTCAGCTGATATTGGGGGTGCTAAAGACGTCAGAGTCCTTAGATTAACTCCCTAGTCTCATAACATTTTATGGCGTAACTTTTTTGAGGTTAAATTTTTTACATACAAAATATGTTCTTGTTATAATCGCTGAAGTGTGCCATTTTTGAAAGAAAAACGCAAATGGTTGTACCAATCGATCAGCTTCTGTCCATGGTAATGTAAAATTTCAATTTTTATAAAAACTCTTATCAAAATCCCTAAAAACGCACAGTTTTCGAGAAAATTGCAATTGACTGTCTCAAAATTTTTGAGCTTTTATTGCTCAATGTACAGGATGTCTGGAAACGGCTGGGCTATAATTTAAAGATAATTTTGTTGAATAATAATAAACCGATTTGGTTATCTTGTGCAATTTTGATTCCATAAAAAGTTACAGGCCCTCAAAAAATGTTATTTTATTTCTTTGAAGGCCTGTAACTTTGTAAAAAGGCAAAATTGTAAGCTATTCTTGAAACATGATCCATTCATTTCCGGACATTGAGAAATGGTTGGTTGGCTGGTTAACTTTTGGTCAGTCAGTTGGGTTTTTCCCGAAAATAGTGTCATGCAAAATTAAATATTTCGAAAACAATAATTAAAAGTTGACTTTTACATGGTATTCATTAAGTGTCAAAACAACAGTTTTTTGTCCACAGAACGTAAAAGTTTTTTACATCCAGGATGTAAAAACATCTACCTACAAAAACCAATGAAATTATAGGTGATAGAACCTGTTCAACAGTTTATTTATTATTATTAACAGAAACATAAATTTTAAAATTCATTAATAATAATCAATTTAATTAACAATCGATCAACAATTTAATCAATCAATTAATCATTTCTTTTAATATTTATAGTTAAAGTCGTAATTGTACAGGGTTATTCACGCTATACGGCACGGAATTTTGTGATGAAAATACGAGACTTTCAAAAAGTTTCTCTTTTAGGATACGTGGCGATCTATTACGGTTACTTTTTGAAATTATTTTCATATTATACAGGGAGTCCCAAATGTCCTAAAAGTATCAAAGTTGTGTTTTTTTAAATGGAATCCCCTATTACTCTTTTGGATTCTCTGATAAAAATAAGTGTCAGTTTTAATAAAGTTTATAATATCTAAACCTTAAGGTTTTTTAAATAATTTGAATTTTATCAAAATGTAACCTAATTTTCTTGTTTCAAATACTTTAGAAGTATGTCAGGTATGTAAGTGAAATTTACAGTGAAGTGTAACAATAGCTCATATTTTATATACCAATCATAATAAACTTGCCATCTTATACAGGGTGTCCAAAAATTAAAATTAATCTAATAAGAACTTTAAGTGGCTATAAATTAATTAATTTAAATAGAACACCATATTTTTTAACTTCCCAGAAAATGTAATATTTAATTACCCATCGAGTGGTATTAGGGTGTTCATCGCTAAGTCTTCGCGTTTTTACAGGATACGCCAAATAATAATCGTTCTTTGCACCATTTCGTGTATTTTACATAAAAGTTCCAATGCATCTAGTTGCCTAAAAGGCGAAGAAAATATTTTTACGGTACCTGGTTCAGTTATTGAAAATCCCAGTATTAATTAAAATCAGATAGCCAAAAATAATAACCTTAGTCAAGCAAGTATTTCAAGAATTCTTAAAAAACAGGTTTCATCCAGGTTTGCCAAGAACTTATGGAAATGATTTTGACAACCGAACTGAATTTTGCATGTGGGTGTTAGATAAAGTGACAGGAAATGTAAACTTTTTTGATAAAGTGTTATTTAGTGATTAATGCACTTTTCATAAAAATGGTCTCGGGAATAGACACAAACTTCACTACTATTCAGATTCAAATTCGCATCAATACAGAGTCAAGAGAAATCACAATAGGTGGTCCGTTAATGTTTGGAGTGGAATACTGTGCTCATATTTAATTGAATCCTATTTTTTTTAAGGAACTTTAAATGGTATGAAGTTTCTTAATTTTCTTTTACACTAACTTCCAGTATTATTAGAAGTCCATTTTAACGTTAGAACAACCATGTGGCTTCAATTAGATGGAGCTGCGCCTCATTATCATCGCAAAGTTCCGCAATTTTTAAATGCCAACTTTCCATACAGGTGGATTGGAGGAAATGAATTTCAAAATTGGCCTCCAAGATCCCCGGACTTAACTCCACCAGATTTCTTTTTATGGGGATACAAAGAGTTAGCAATGGTTTTGAAAAAAAAATTTAGCAGTGTCTGGAAAAGGACGGCCGACATTTCGAATATTTGTTATAAATATTTTGCTTCTGTTTTATGTTATGGTTGACATGTTATCTAGAACTTTTATGTAAAATACACAAAATGGTGCAAATAACGATTATAATTATTTGGCATATTCTGTAAAAACGCGAAGACTTAGCTATGATTACCCTAATACCATTCGATAGGTAATTAAAAATTACATTTTCTGGTAAGTTAAAAAATATGGCGTCCTATTTAAATTAATCAAGTTATAGCCACATTATTTCATTAATTTTAATTTTTGGACACCCTGTATAAGGTGGCAAGTTTATTATGATTGATATATAAATATGATCTATTGTTATACTTCAATGTAAATTTCGCTTACATACCTGATACACTTCTTAAGTATTTGAAACAAGAAAATTACGTTACATTTTGATAAACTTCAAATTATTTAAAAAACCTTAAGGTTTAGATATTATAAACCTTATTAAAACAGACACTTATTTTTATCGGAGAATCCAAAAAAACAATAATATATAGGGGATTCCATTAAAAAAAACACAACTTTGATACTTTTAGGGCATTTGGGACACCCTGTATAATATGAAAATAATTTTAAAAAGTAACCGTAATATACCCCATATATCCCAAAAGAGAAACTTTTTGAAAGCATCGTATTTTGGTCGCAATATTCCGTGCCGTATAACGTGAATGACCCTGTACAATTGTGAGAACTGACTTCACTCGAGGATGGTATGTCGCTCACTGCAATAGCAATAGTTTTTTATTAAGGCACTGGGCAATTATTGAAGAAGTACCAGATTTGGGAGCGGATATTGACGCGCCAAGAAATATTTGATATTAAATTATATGCAGTAAATTGTAAGTGACATACAGGTCAAGCTGTAGAATACAGTTTTCGAAAAAATGTAGTTTGATACTCAGTTGCGAAATTCTTTTACATTCTCGAATCTAAAAATTGCATTTCGCAATTTATCATTAAAAATAAACTATTTACATAATATTATAATGTATAACATACCATGTAAACTTAATTTTATTTAAATAATTCATATTTGACGTCTTGTACCTCAAAAACAAAAAACGATAGATCCATATCGATAGAAAAAAATCGTCTTACTTTTGATGTTCTGTTTTTTGCTTTCATTTCTGGAATACCTAGTATAAACGCGGTGAAAAAAAATTTGCAGGAAGCCAACACAGCTTACTATGGGAAACGTCATTTAAAAAAAACATAATAAAAAAATAGATTTTTCTTATTGAATTCTCAATATATTAATTCCCTGGTTGTCCCATTGGTACAGGATGTTTTGAAACGGAACTACGGGAATCCTGGAGGATACTAAAATGTTTATTATTAAAAGAGAGAAACATGTTCACTTATTTATTTCAATGAAGTCCAACAAATAATATTTACAACACCCAAATTGATGTTTCAAACTATATGTGCATTGTTGTCTACTTCGTTATTATGACTACAACGAAGTAATAATTTTTTTGCCGACTAATATATAGGGTGGTCGGAAACTAGAGCAGAAAATTTAGGAGATGATTATATTTCTAAAAATATTGATACAGATTAGTATGGCACTTTAAAAACAAAAATTAGTATTAATGGAGTACATAAGTTTAAAGTTAAAATTAATATTCATGTCACAATGTTTTCAAATTTTGTACATTTACTCTTGATAAAATATCAGTGAAAATGAAATCGCCAAAAGCCTGAAGGACTTAAATGACAATTATTGAAAATTTAATACTTTTTAAACAGGTTTAAAATATGAATTTAATAAGAAACTATTTTTTAAAGGACCATATATGCAGTTTAGGTTTGAAATTTTTTTTGTCCTTAGTTGTACCTTACACATTTTTATAAGTAACTTTCTAAAACTTTTGCTCTAGTTTTCGGACATACTAAACAGAAACCAGTAGAAAATGGCGTTTACAATTTTTTTTAAGTGACAATTTTTTTAATGAAACACTATATATTTTCATATTTGAATAGTACATTTTTTCTGGATTATCGTAATTGTAACAGTATCATTGTAATGTTGAAAAAAAAATCAAACGCGATTTTCACTGGAAAATACTGATTTTTAGGTTACCGATCCGCGAAAAATTACCCACTTCTGTGGCAATTTTTTATCTATTTCGTATCTAATAATAAGGCCAGTAAGCAATTTGCAACACCCTGTATGTAGATTTGCAATGCCAGAATTTCAGTAGAGGTCTGATAGGATACTTTACAGCGGTCCAGATATCTGCTTACCGGAATTAATGTTTCAGTCAGACCTTCTCCCGACCTTACTGAACGCCAGTCGTCGTCTTGGGATCACTTTTATAGGATCGAGTTGAATTTGAGATATGTGTAGGACGGTGAAATGCTAATTTTCTCCTTTTTTTATAACATGTAACTTTACAGATCTACGCTTTCCTACATCGTTCACCTGAATGCTTGCAATAAAAATCCTAATTTATAACTTTA